AAACGATAATTGTTGATGTTTATAACCGAGCAAATGCAAACATCACTATTCACTGGTAAATATATTACTAAGCCCATGTTTGTTGTGAATTAAAATTTTGATAAAAATTTAAGTCAAAGTAAAAAATTAATTCTAATCTCACACATTTTATGAAATTCACAACTTTTCAATCACAATTTTTATCAACTTTTATCAAATCTACTAAAAATTTGATTTGTAGCTACACCAAATTGGGGCTAACCAACAATTCATATAAAATGGAGCAATATTTATACTTGTATTACAGCTGCGACATGTATACAGTGATTTATATACACATGATATGGTAAAATATGATAGGGTCAAAAAATTTTCAACCAAATAAAAAAATATTCCGCTTCTATTTTTGACACTTCATTTATATATAAATCATTATGTACAAGTAGCAAAGCAAGCCGCGTACTAAAATTTTATTGATTTTATAGGCATGGAGTGAAAATGCCGAGGTATCCATGGTCAGATGGTCCTGAGTATGTTACACAGTGTCCAATTCGACCTGGAACAAAGTTTAGCCAAAGGATCGTGCTTTCAGACGAAGAAGGAACTTTATGGTGGCACGCTCATAGTGAATGGTCACGGGCTACTGTTTACGGTGCTATAGTTATTTATCCAAAGAAGAAAAATGGCTATCCTTTCCCCAAGCCTCATGCAGAACAACTCATCATTCTAGGTATGCATGTATTTGGATGATCAAAAATTATTTTGTTTCGAATTGGAAAAATTCTGAAAGAATAGGAAAGAACAAAAAGAAAACCAGGAGTAACTCAATGTTTGAAGCTGTTGAAATTCAGGAGAGTGGTGGAAAAGTGATGTGGAAGAGGTTCTCAGTGAATTCATGGCAAATGGAGGGGATCCAAATAATTCCGATGCTTTCCTTATAAATGGTCAACCTGGGGTTCTATATCCATGCTCAAGATCAGGTTTGTAGCTAAATCTTGACTGTGATTATTATGTTTTAAATACAAAACATCTCCAATACAATTATGGATGCTTAAAAATTGTGCCACATAAACAAAACTGTCGGTGTTTAAAATTAAAAAAAAAAAAAAAATGAATTGGTGCAAGTTGACAATGACTCAGTTATTTTGATATGACAAAAATAAATAAAAATAGACTCTGACCATATTTATATATGACGACTCAGCAAAACTTAAATTCCATATGCAAGTTTAATGGGATTCTGAAAAAATAAAATACACCTACATAGTAATTCATAAAATGCATTGAATAATAATTTTGAATTTGAATGTCTATTCATTATACAAGAAAAAATAAAATAAACCTTCGTGTCCTTATCCATAGAATTCATTAGAGATGCTCTGATGTTATCTATACCTATATGTGAAGTTTTGCTTTGTCCACTACCTCATATATTAATAGAAAAAATTAGTACAAAGTAGAGCAATATGCCAACCTTACTTCGCAGGCACCACAACTCAACCGATATTAAATATTTGTAAAGTCATATTAAAGAAATAGAATTGAATTCTTATGTAACATTTTTGGCAGGCCTTATGCTTAAAATAATTGCCCATCCTATGTCAAAATGATAAGCATCAAATTAACAAACTCTTTTGGCTTACACAATTGCAGATACATTCAAGTTGACAGTGGATTACGGAAAGACTTATTTGCTCCGAATGATTAATGCCGTCATGAACAACATTATGTTCTTTAAAATTGCAAACCACAATATAACTGTTGTTGGATCAGATGCGAGCTATACTAAGCCCATAAATAGTGATTATATTACCATCTCTCCTGGCCAAACCATTGATTTCTTGTTAAAAGCTAACCAGAAACCTGGCCATTACTACATGGCTTCAAGGGTTTATGCCAGTGCAGGCGTTTATGACAACACGACTACAACAGCTATTGTTGAGTATCGAGGGAATTATACTCCACCAGCATCACCATTACTCCCAACTTTTCCTGATTTCAATGATACAGGTGCTTCGGTTAATTTCACCGGAAAGCTGAAAAGTTTAGCAAATAAGAAATATCCTATTGACGTTCCTTTAAAAGTGAGAACTAAATTGTTCTTTACCCTTTCCATTAATGTAATCCCTTGCGCCAATGGTTCATGTGAAGGACCTTTCAACAACCGTCTTTCAGCAAGTGTGAATAACATAACCTTTCAGCTACCAAGAGTCGACATTCTTCAAGCTTATTACGAGCATATCAAAGGTGTTTATGGAAATGACTTCCCAAAAAATCCACCATTTCAATTCAATTATACTCAAGATTTTGTCCCTCAAGACCTGTGGATACCTCGAAATGGGACAGATGTAGTAGTTCTTGACTACAATTCTGCGGTGGAGCTTGTCTTCCAAGGAACAAACACAGTTGCAGGGATAGATCATCCCATGCACTTACATGGACATAGCTTTTACGTAGTTGGATGGGGAATCGGAAACTTTGATAAAGACGAAGACCCTAAACATTATAATCTCGCTGACCCTCCTCTAATGGAAACAATTGCAGTTCCAAAAAATGGTTGGACAGCAATCAGATTCAAGGCAAATAATCCGGGAGTGTGGTTGATGCATTGCCATTTTGAGCGTCATATAAGTTGGGGAATGGGAATGGTATTCATTGTTAAAAATGGCAAGAGCCGAGATGCTAAAATGCTTCGTCCGCCTCCAGACATGCCAAAGTGTTAAATGCTGAACAAAATGGAGATCTCTTATGTAGGAGATCGTTTAATACTAGTGTGTGCTGCTTGTTGCAACTTGAAATTTTGTACTGTGTGCTTTCTTTTTTGTGTAATCTGCAAATATTCCGAATAAAGGAATTGTTTGCTTGCATCTATTTAATATAGCTCTAACTTATAAAGCTTCTTGCATATTAATTAATTCCCCATTCAATTTTGAAAATAATTCACTTTTTTTTTTTTTAAGTAATTTTAAAAAAACTATAGATTTGTACTTTACTTATTAAAAAACGTCTGCTAGCACCGAAAGAGTTTACTTGATTGAAGATATGGCTCGTCCATTACATATAAAATGTTCAATGAAAAATTCAATCTTCAAAATTTCTTTGGAATCTTATTTAAAATTTTAACATAAAAATATCATTAGGGACAAACAAAAATTATCTCTTAATTTTTATACTTCAAACTACTGGTCGAATTACCGATGGAAATTTTTGTTGATAATTCAAAAAATAATACAGATGAAATGATTTCTAAAAGTGTAAAAAAATTAAATAAAATGGCAGATGAATTTTCCATGGTAATTAATTTGAAAAAAATAATCAAAATACTGACTGGTATAGGTTTTTCAAAGCTTATAATTGTTTATAAGCATTGGCTTTCGAAAAATATGTAGTTAGAAAGTAAGTAAAAGTTATGAATCCTATCAAATGTGTGGATAAAAATATAATTTAAACGAGCATAAACAATTATAAACTTTGACAAACATGCACCGCCGTTAATTGGAAATACAAAAACTATTCAGGAAAATTCAACAATAATTTACTGAAAAATAAGAAAACTTTTAAAAAAATATATGAAGTTAATTAAACTACTTAAGATTTAGACATCTGTGTTTTCCTGTAGTGCAAGTTATATATATATGAATGATCTCCTAAACATTCGTACTTAGCTTATGTTAAGCACCGATAACAAATAAACTATTTAATTGGTGAATCATTAAATACATGAACTTGACATTAACTTATTTACCAATTAAGTAGTGTGTCATGTTATCGGTATTTAACATAAACTAAGCACCGATGCTTAAAGGATCATTTTCATATGTGTGTGTGTGTGTGTAGGGGCAGAGCTATATACAGTCGAGTGTAGGTAGATGCCTGCACTGGACTTTGGAGTTGATATAGAAAATTTCGGTGTGCTTGCACTAGATTAAGAAGAGAAGAAGTAGAAGAAGAATTTATAGATTGGAAGTAGCCATTGATAAAACTTGAAGCCAACAGTTGAAGAATTTCTGAGATTGGAAGATGAAGAAGAGTGGATGGGGCCTTTTCTTAATTGTGGGCCTTTTTCTTTTAGGCCTCTTCTTTTTAATAAAATTAATTGGCCCAATCTTCTGGATCATGGTTTAATGATTTATATTATTGTATTCTTTTACAATTGTTAATGTTAATGATTTATGAAAATTGAGAATTTTGTGAATTTGAGAATATGTGATAATATGTGGTTGTAGATCGTGATTTGTGATAAATAATAAATTGATGTTGAAAATTGAAACTTGATGACAGTTTAATATGCGATTTACATTTTAAACTCTCTCTCTCTCTCTCTCTCTATATATATATATAGAGAGAGAGAGAGTTTAAAATGTAAATCGCATATTAAACTGTATATAGTTTAATACCCTTTTAGCTTATTTTTTATTACTTTTATGCAAGGTTTTTTTCAATTTTGTGATAGTAAAAAAAAGGAAGAAGTGAAGCTAAATTTGCTACATATTTTAATTTTATTTTTATTCCCTCTCCATTGGTTGTTGAATTTGTTCTGTATATCTTTTTAATGGAGCTTTTCAAGTGGTAAGATTATAATTCCACGTGTCAATAATTGTCAAACTGTTAATAAATGATCTCGCTATTGTGGTTATTGACGGTCAACAGTCAATGGCCGCCATAGTTCTTTTTGTTCATAAATTAACTTGACCCAAAAAATCACGGTAACTGATACCTAAATTTATGTCCGCATTGAACAAAATCCCTAACTCTGTCCATATCTATATTTATATTTATTTATTTATTTATATAACATTTATGTGTTTTTAGTCGAACATTGCACAATGACATTGACATTGACACATTTTATTAATAACGAAAATAAAACGTATTACACATTATTTATGTTCTTATATCCATGTTAAACATGCATCTTAGAACAGTAGCCCTTATATATGAGCAACCATAATTATTTCACCATAGTATTATGTGTAAAAACAGAGGGATCAAGTCCAAGAAATTAGAACAATAACAAAACCCTAGACATGCAAGGCACCATTAACCCTTGGAATGGCCACAGCAGAGAGTGGCTTCTTCATCTCACAAGAGAGCTTCAAGACCTCACTGAGATCAACAGGCTGAGCGATATTTTGAACCCATTCAAAATGGTGCACCAACTTAGCCACCCACAGGCTCACTGTCGCTATCCCTAGGCTCTTTCCAGGACAAACCCTAATTCCAGCCCCAAATGGCGCAAGCCTCAAGTCATTCCCTCTCACATCCACATTTACACCGCCAGCAGATGGTAGGTACCTTTCTGGTTTGAAAATCAAGGGATCATTCCACACATTAGGGTCATGTGTTATGGCCGACATGTTCACCATTGCAGTAGTATTCGCCGGAATTATCATGCCGTTGCTCAGGTGGACATCGGCGGTCGAGAGACGGGCCCACGACAAGAGGGGTCCTGGTGGATGCAAACGGAGTGTCTCTTTCACCACGGCGTTAAGGTAGGGCAACTTAGGAATGTCAGCATCTGTGATACCTTTGTTTCCCATGATAGTGTCAAGTTCGGTTATAATTTTTGTTTGAACTTGGGGATTTAGGACAAGTTCCGCCATTACCCATTCTGTCAGCAGTGCCGTTGTATCAGTGCCGCGAAATATCATTTCCTGCATAGCAAAAGAAAATTGCACATCCAAAAGGAAACCAGTGAACTCATTTCCATCTCGTAATTCTTATGACAAAAAAGTTGTGCATCCAAAAAACCGCGTTTCTTGAAAGGATTGCAAGGAAAAAGATAACATGCAAACATAGAAAAGTTTTTTACTAACCCATAAGACAGCCACCATATCATTCTCATCAAGCTTCTCTTCACCATCCAATGAGAGTAAAACATGGATGAAACCACAATTATTGGATACTTTAAAGGAATTCTTATTTTGATGTTCATCGATGATTTGTTTGATGAGTTTTTTTACTCTAGGAACAAGAGCTGCACAACGTTCTTGAATGCAAAAAGGATCGAAAAAATACTTCAACCATGGCAAATGATCAGACAAATTGAAAGCTCCCAAGAGCTCAAATCCTTCTATCACTATTTCATGCAGCTCTTTGGCCTCGTTATCATATCGTGTAAGATCATACCTGCGGAGAAATTTATCACCACACAGCAATACATAAATGCAAATCAAAGAGAAAAAATCAAATTTGCATGATTCTAAAATATCTCATACGTTCACGAGATAGGAAGTAGAATGACGCTAGTTAACACCATGGTGTTCAGCACCAGTTTATGTGGCAATTGGGTTCAATACTTCATTGTTTAATGAAATTGAGTAGACAATTGACTTTAATGCCACCTAAACGGCTGTTGAGTACTACTTATACTATATACATTATTCGAGGAAGCATCAATGCAAAAATTTGCACAAAAAAATATCAATTTTTGAGTATAATATATTCAACTATACCTTTTACCAAAGACAATATCCATTATGTTGTTCAAAGAAGCAGCTTGTAAGTGCTTTCTGAGAAAGACAAAACCTTGGCTGGCTTGTTCCGTGGCTATTGCATTCACCATGGCTACGCATTCTAGCTGACGCCATGGCTCATGGGCTAATATATTACTGGGCGAAAAAAGGTGGGATGATACAATTCTTCTTAACATACGCCAGTAGGCCCCAGTGGGAGCGAACCCAATAGCTCGGCTGAACATGAGCTGTTTAGCCGACTGTTTGATTGGACGGTTACCAAAGTGTGGGGAGGTCAAAATTTCTCGAGCAATGTGGGGTTCAGAGGTCACCACAGCAGGGGTAGAACCCAAGCTGAAAGCCATTAATTGGGTTGCCGCATGAGTCGAAGCCATGCAAGCTAGAGTACGGTGAGCCAAGCCATGGCTCAAGCTGAACAAGCTACCAAAAATTGGAAGCCCTCTGGGCCCAGGAATAGAAACTCGGCCCAATTTGTTCCGTCCATTTTTCCAAGCTGGCCCACCAGTAGAAAAAGCCCAACCTATTAGCCCAAAAGTCAAGAAACCAATGAAAATACAGAATAACACAAAACCTGAGCCATGCATGTTTGAAAATTCCAGAATGGCAGGAACGGTGAAAATCCACCATTTTGTATCCTCAGAAATTTCAACGAACTCCATTAATATCATTAAATTGGACAGACTTTTATTTATTTTTCCAAAGGACAAAATAAAATGCAGAAAACAATATAATTTTTTTTTTGCAGAAATAGCAGTTAGTGACTAAGGTGTGGTCTGGGGTGAGAAGGAAATGAAACGAAGTGCTGCTTAAATAGGTGATATGTCTCGAATAAGGAAGCAGTTTAATTGGTTAAAAAATTTAAAATATGAGTTCGAAGATTTCGTAGGAAAGGGATTACATTTCAAGTTGGTATATAAATATTTGTGCAATTTGCTTTGCTGTAAATTTTATGTTCACATGGAGTTTTATTATTTATAATCGGTGTAAAGAATGTTTGTATGGAAGAATTCACTTTCAACTAGATACACCCCTTTTAGGGTTAGAAGATCAAGGTAGATCAAATTTTGAATCGTTGATATTATTTCATATGTAAGCAATGCAAAATTATAACCTTAACATGTTCTCAGTATAGCTCGTTTGGAAATAATGTTACTCCACCAAAGATGAAAACGAATTACAAATAGAAAAAATTATCGAAAGAAGTATAGGATATGAATAAATGGCAAAGTATATATGAAGAACTTTGAAAGCTGAAACACAATCTTTGATTGTTGTCCTCAAACGAATTTTGCCCCCACTATTTTGGTGTTTAAAGGGTGATCTGGCAAAAGGTTTGAAGGATTAATCAAGCCTTATAGAGATTCAAACACTAAACACTTGTTTGAATCTCTAAAACTTAAGAACACAAAGAAAAGATGAATATGAGAGGGTATTTTATTTTTTTTGGATTTGATCTCAAGAATGATCAATATAATAAGTGTTTTTTCAACATTTTTCAATGACCCAAGATCATTTATTTATAGCCAAGTATAGGTTCACGAAGTGGTGCACCTTATGGATGAGAAGCCACCAAAAAACCAACAAAAAACGACCCAACGGTCGTTTTTGTGTACCATGCGACCGCATGGTACAAACCCATGCGGTCGCATGGTACAATCCTACCGAGACCATATGGTCTCGGTAGGGTTCCATGCGACCGCATGGCCTAATTTTTTATTTTTATTTTTTTTTTTATTTTTATTGTTGGTTTTGAACAATTATACCACTTCATAACAATCCCCCACTTGTTCAAAATTAACAAGTTTCTCATTATTCAAATTATACGATACTCATGCGTAAGGATTAGATATCTTTCGATTTGAATCTAACCATAGTGTAATTCAAACAAAGTAAAGTCGAAATTCAAGGTAGTGTGAAGCTTTGAACCAAGTATTTCATGTGACAATACCGGTAAGAACAAACACACGAATATCACATGTTCTCAAGTTCCTCGTTTCTCGCTTAACGCTTTTATGGCCTTGCGCTTATCCTTTTCAATAAACTTTTAAGAGAGAACTCCAACTCTCTATTAAGGCGGCACCACCTTGAAGTTTATTTAGGTAAAGTTCTTCCAGTACCTTTGTTACTTTTAGAAGTACTTGTGGTTTTACACTGAACTTTATTAAGAGCTTATAGCTCAACTCTCGTTTCAGTAACAACCAGCATTATATTAATCTAGGATAGGATTATTTCGGATTGTAATAATGCTGTAACTATTCACATATCGAATGACTTGTTGATACCCTTTGAACCCGTGTAAAACCTTTTGAGTAACGACAGGTAGGGTTGCCATCATTGGTGGATATTTCAGTTAAGGAGTTTCAATCCCATCTTACTTGAAGTAGATGTCACTAAATCTTTATTCAGAGGTTTAGTTAGAGGATCCGCCAAATTTTCATTCGACCTTACATAATTTAGGGAAATTATTCCATCCTTGATTAACTTCCTTATGTAGTTGTGTCTAAGACTCATATGTCTAGACTTCCCGTTATATATATCATTGTATGCTTTAGCTAAAGTGGCTTGACTATCACACATTATTGGTATTGAAGAAATATTCTTTGATCCCAAAGGTATCTCATAGAATAAGTCTTTAAGCCATTCAGCCTCCTTTCCTGCATCTGATAGGGCTACAAATTCAGATTCCATAGTTGAATGTGTTATGCATGTTTGTTTCTTCGACTTCCAAGAAACTGCACCTCCTCATAGAGTAAACACCCAACCCGTAGTTGATTAACTTTCATTCGTGCTAGATATTCAACTAGTATCAGTAAATCCTTCTAATATTGCTGGAAATTTAGTATATTGTAGACCTAAGTTCTTGGTTTTCTTTTAGTATCCGAGAACTCTCCCAATTGCTTTCCAATGTTCATTACTTGGATTGCTAGTAAACCTACTAAGTTTACTTATTGCATAGGCTATATCTGGTCTTGTGCATTGAACCGCATACATAAGACTTCCAATAGCACTTGCATACTCTAATTGAGCAATTTCTTTTCCATCATGTTTTACAAGTTTTGAGCTTGGATCAATAGGGGTATTATACTCTTTTATGTTCAAATGTTTGAACTTATTTATCACATTCTCAATATAATGTGATTGACTAAGGTAATAACCCCCACTGGTCTTTGAGACTTTGATACCCAAAATAGTATCAACTTGTCCAAGATCCTTCATCTTAAATGTGGAAGATAGAAACCTCTTCGTTTCTTTTATCCCATCCATGTGATTACTTATAATCATCATGTCATCAACATATAAGCATATAAATATCATGTAATCATCACGCACTTTAGAATACAAACATCTATCTACACTATTATGTTTAAATCCATATGATATAATTGCTAAGTCAAATTTCTCATGCCACTTCTTAGGTGCTTGCTTTAGCCCATATAACGATTTAATTAGCTTGCATACCTTATGTTCATTTCTTGGTAAAAGAAAACCTTCTGGTTATTCCATATAGACCTCCTCATCGAGATCCCCATTTAGGAATGCCGTTTTGACATCCATTTGATGAACATGTAAGTCATATATCGAGGCTAATGCAAACAATATCTTAATTGAAGTTATTCTTGCTACTGGTGCATAAGTGTCAAAATAGTCAATTCCTTCCTTTTGTCGATAACCTTTGGCTACAAGTCTAGCTTTGAAAGTATTTAGAGAACCATCAACATTGTATTTTCTCCTAAATACCCATTTACAACCAATAGGTTTGGATCCGGGTGGTAGGTCGACAAGTTCCCAAGTTTTATTTGACATTATTGAATCCATTTCATCCTTGTTTGCATCTTTCCAAAACATGCTATCTCGAGAAACCATAGCTTCTTTATAAGTTTTAGGATCGATTTCCACTTGTAGAACAAAAGGAATTGTTCTTACAACATTCAACACATTTCCTTCTACTAAGTAAAATGAGATAAGTTGAGAATCAATTTCATCCGGTCCTAAAGACTTCTTAATTCGAGTTCTTTTGCTTCTTCGTGGTTCATTAGATTCATTAATATCTTTAGAAGATATTTCATCCCGTGTTCCACTTGAGCTTGGGATATTTACAAGGTTTTCTCTTAATTCGTTATTCGAGGTTAACGAATCTTCAAAGAACTCTACATCACTTGATTCAATAATCACATTGGTCTCCAAATTTAACAATCTATAAGATTTGTTATTGTTAGCATATCCAACAAAAGCACATTTAATGCCTCTTGGACCTAATTTGTTTCTATTAGGGTTCGTGTTCTTGCAATAAGCAAGACACCCCCACACTTTGAAGTATCCAATGTTTGGTTTTCTTCCTTTCCATAATTGATAAGGAGAAACCTTAGTATGTTTTGAAGGAATCCTATTAAGTATCCTACATGCACTTAATAAAGCTTCACCCCATAAGTTAAAAGGTAACTTAGCAAATATAAGCATAACATTAATCATTTCTACTAATGTTCTATTCTTTCTTTCAGCCAAACCATTTTGTTCGGGAATCCTTGGTGCAGAACATTGATGAATTATACCATGTTGTTCACAAAATAAATTAAAATCACTAGAAAAGTATTCACCACCTCTATCACTCCTTAAGGTTTTTATTTTCTTTCCTATATGATTTTCAATTTCATTCTTATAAATCTTAAACATGTTAAATGCTTCATGTTTATGTTTCATTAAATACACATATGTATATCTAGAAAAGTCATCGATAAAGAATACCTATTTCCACCTCTAGTTAACATGCCGTTTAATTCACATATATCCGTATGAATTAGTTCCAAAATACTAGAGGTTCTTTTTACACTTTGATATGATTTTTTAATCATATTAGATTCTACACAAGTTTTGCATTATTTGAAATTATTTTCATTATATGAAATTAAGTCACACTTTTTCATTCGTTTCATGGTACTTCTACCAATATGTCCTAACCTAGCATGCCATAATGAAAATAAATCCACAACATAAGCAAGATCAACTTTTTTTATTTTATTGTCAACAGTACAAAGTTTGACCATTCCTTCATAAGAATATCCTTTTCCAACAAAATTCCCTTTAAGGGATAATACAAGTTTACCGGATTCATACACACTTTTGATACCCGATTTTCCTAAGAGATTTCCACTAACTAAGTTTCGATTCATATCCGGAACATGTAATACATTAGTGAGGGTAACGTTTTTCCCGGAAGTGAAGATTAAATCTACATTTCCTTTACCAATGACTTTGGATCAAACTTCGTTGCCCATTTGAATCTCTTGGTCTCCATCCATTTCATGATACGTCTTGAATAAAAATTTATCATATGATACATGCACCGTAGCACAAGTATCATACCACCACCCGGGAATCTTTCCCTTAATTGCATTTATCTCGCTCACGGTGGCCACAATCTTTTCTTCTTGAATGGAGTTGATTTTACCTTCGGAGTTGTTTCTTTTCTGGTGTCTACAGTCTTTTGCATAGTGACCAGACTTTCCACACACAAAGCAACCTCCTTTGTTCTTCTTCTTGAACTTGTTAAAGTTTCTTGAAGGCTTCCTTTTGTTGGTTTGTCCAGGTGGTTCAGATTTCTCTATAGCATTCGCTTTAGAAGTTCCTTCCGAAGAGTTTTCACTTCTATCGCGTAACCTGG